GGGGGGGCTGGAGGAAAGAACCAGGAGCTCAAGGTTGACACCAGCCCGACCAGCACCTCCTAGTGCCCCGTTTCGATCACTCATCCTTGTCCACAGACCGTCCCTTTCCAGCTGGTGTGTTCTTTCTTTCCCTTCTCCTGCCCTGGTGCGGCAGGAAGAAATCCAACAGGTGATGCCTGAGAACCCTGCCTCTGTTACGAGTAGGGGACCTCTTTACGTCTGACTTTGGAATGTTTGTTTTTCTATATTCTTCTTTTATTTTCATGGTGGTACCATCTGTGCATCCACCTTCAAAAATACCAGGCACAGTCAATCAAAATTAGGAAAACAATGACTGATATAATAGATACAAGATGATGGTGATGATGATGATGACTTCCAGAGTCCCCGAGGGGGCAAGGCTCATGGGGCATGGGAGTAACAGGGCTGGGATCTTCTGCCCATCCTGTGCTGAAGCCTGCATAGGGTCTTTCCCCCCAGTCAGCCTGTTTCCCCATCTACACCTATACTGCTTGCTCGGACTGTCAGCAGCTGTTCTCCAGAATCCTAATGAAAAAATGGGAGTTATTGTTCCCGGAATTCGGTCAGGCCATGAGCATCCTCATCTCAGTCCGGCGACACCTTGCCACGACCTCAGGCAGAGAGAGATGGACGGTGGTCACCCAGGGCTGCCCATTTCTTTTAACTGGAGGAGGCCGCTGGAGCAGGCATCGTCCACTTCCAAAGACCACATCCTTCCACCGGTTTGTTGAGGCTTCTCCAATTCAGAGAGGACACAAAGCCAGCTTTTATGCCCTGACCCCAAAGCTTCTGGAGCAAACGCCCGGGGAAAATTCACAGCCCCCTTCCCGCACGAATGGAACCCACCGATAACACTTTGGAAACCCTATTAAGGTCTCCGAAAACCGGGAAACAACTGGGCAACTCCTCATATCAACAACAAAAATCCTAGCCAAGCTTGCACAAACAAAACCATGATCAAGAATGAGTGGGAACGCTCATTACGTCCTTTCCGGCACGCAGGGACGTTCCTTTGGGTTTGGATTGTGGCTTCTCACAACCCTCTAAGGTGGCCAAGACAGGCGACACGTCCACCCTGAGGACTGGAGCCTTAAGGGCTTCAAAGGAGGTGGCTTGCTTTGGAGAGCTTCTTTTCACAAAGTCCTGCGCTGATTGCCCTCCCGGCCTTTTCTCCCCTCCTCTCTCTCTCTCTCTCTCTCTCTATTCCCGGCTTTGGCTGGTTGGATAAAGGGTGAATCGCTCTCTGTTGGAACCGGTGGGCTTGGCTTGGCTCTCCTCCGAAGAGGGAAAGGCCAGGCTCCCCTCTCAGCTGTCACTGCCTGCCTCCAGCCGAGCCTCTTTACCCCTCCCTCCCTCTCCCCTCCTTGGCTTGCACAGCGTAGACCCTACCAAAGTCCAGCCGCCTGTGGCTTTCAGAGGAGGCCTTCGGAAGGGGCAGCAGGCGCTCTGCCCCTGGTGCAAGGAGCCCGGTTCGGCCGGGTAGCTGTCTCGTGCTCCAGGTACTGGCCTGTCTGGTGGGGATCAAGCGCTAGGAAAGTGTGCAGTTTTTCTCTTCCCCCGAGAAAAAGTGGGTTTGGGGGTTTCCCTCCCCGGGGAGTGGGGAGGCTTATAGGAAAGCATGAAAAAGTCCCCGGGGCGGCTCATTATCTAGAACTGTGGGCGTCTTTCTTTATTTCAACCACAGCCACGCTAGTTAAAAGAATAGCTGTGCCGATTTTAAACAGTGGCATGACTTCGCTGGCATGCCGTTCCCTCCCTGGGAATGATGGCAGACGGCAGTCACATGGGGAGAAGGAGCCGGGAACGCCTGGAAAGGGACCTCAGAAAAGCGTGAGACTACAGTGACCAGAATCTCCCCTGTAGAGAGGGGATTCTGGGGTTTGTAATCCAGAACAGGATTATTCTGACCTCGGTCTCGATCGGCCCCATGACATGGAATGGCAGAGGGGGAAGGAAGAGCAGGCGAGGGTGGGAGATTTACCAGCATACAGCTTTATTGATGAAAAATAAAGCTGTTTAATTTGGGGGGGGTTAAGGTTCCCAAAAAAGGGACTTGTCACAGTTTTAGTTACACTGGAAGAATCCTGCAGGATCTCCCTCTGTCTCGGGCATAGAAAAACAGGATTTGAAGGCTGCCGTTGGGCTTTGTACGCTTACTTTCACGCTTATTTACAAGGCTGGATGTAACTAGTTGCAAAGAAATGAGTTCTAATCAGTTCCTCTTTGGCAGTAACTAAGGCACTACGAAGTTACATTTGAATTATCCCATGCTGGGGGGATGTCACTCCTTTTTCAGAGTAATTAGCTCCTGGGTGTTTCTTGAAGTTGCCCTTGTGGGTGGGTGGGGAAACATTGTTGAGTTTTATGAGTTGTTTTCAGCCGTGTAACTACCGACAGGGGAAAGGAACAGGAACTAGGAGCTGTGATTCCCTTCGGCAAAGGAACTTTCCAAGCTGTTTATTCCCTCAGCAGTCTATCCTTCGTGTCTGCTGCCCCTATGCCAATGGACCTCAAGCATGTCCCCAGCACCCGGGAGCGAGGCTGGTATTTGGCGCTGATGGCCCCCAATATCAAGGGCCCCACTTACGCCTGGTTGGACCCCTCTCGCCTTTACTGCCACCAGCAGGTAAGGAGGGCCGACCCCCACAAGACGGGGCTGGGCTGGGCTGGCCGCTTCCTCTGCCAACAGTGTGGGGCAAAAGGGGCGTTGCGCAACCAGTCCAAGAGGGCTGTTCTTCATCTTCCGAAAACAAAATCCTTAAGATTTCCTTTTTCCAAAACAAACCAGCAAGACTCAAGGCCATGTACAGTATAAGTAAAACTACCAAAAAAAAGCTATCTTTTTTTTGGTTATTCTCAGGAAGAGCAAATGACGATGATAATCATTCAGTACTCTCTGGTTTTTATTGCGTTGTTTCTTAAATTTGTCTTAATTTTTGTATCGATGGTCTGAGATCCCAAAAGTGGGGGGGTTTATAAATGTGGGAATAGAGGACATCCAAAATAATGCAGGTGAGTAAACCGTACGAGAGTTGAGAGCTAGCAAACGTCTCAGGTTGTCAGCAAACCCAGAAGTGAATGTCCTAACCTATCAGCGAACCCGTTCAGCAAAATGTCTCAGTCTATCAGCGTAGTTATTAAGTGGATGTCTTAACCTATCGGGGATCCTATGAGCGAATGTCTTAGCCTATCAGCGAACCTCTGCCGCTTGATCTAGCAATCCCTCTTGATGCTGTCCCTCTTTCCGCCTTCTCCTTTCCAATCTCCGCAGGGCTTCCAGGACTGCGTGGAAGACCTGATCCAACCGTTTCGAGGGGACCCCATTGACCAGGTTGCCGGGATTGATGCCATGGGCTTCATTCTTGGTCAGTGTCCTGGGTGGTTGCCTTTGGGGGCTCCTCCACACCAGGTGCCTTAACTTGATTTTGGTGTCCGGTTCCGACGGTCGAGCCCAGTTGAACCCTATCTAATGGCCCGTACCTTCCCTTGGATTAGAATGTTGGGTTGGGACTGTAAAGACCCGGGTTCGAATCTCCGCTCAGACAGTACCCTTCCTTGAGTTCGGTGGTTCTGTTCCACTAGACCTACCTTACTGGGCTTTTGTGACATCAAAACAGGGAAGTGCAGAACACAAGCTGTGGAGGGAGCCGACTCCGTAGCCTCTTCCGTCACACTAAGGTCTCCCCCTTGCCCTCAGGCTCAGCCATCGCCAACACCCTCCAGAAGAGCTTCGTGGCCATCCGTAAAGCAGGCCACCTCTGCGTGGAGACCCTCACCCAGCCTTACAGGGACTACTCGGGCCGGGACAAGGTGATGGAGATGCGGACAGACGCCATCACCCCAGGTGAGACGCCGCCTGCCCTTACCTGCCACTCACAGTCCAGAGAAGGGACCCAATCCTGATGCACCCAATTCCCGTGACAATCCTCTCCCCCCCCCACTGCCCCAATGATGGAAGGTTTATCCCCCCCAGGTCTAAAGCCCTTCCGGATCAACCTACCCAGAACGATTCCATTTTATTCCTTCCTTGTTGGATTACTACTGGATTTCTGATTGCAGACTTCCTTCCAGGCCTGCCAAATATCTCAGAAGGTTCTCCTAAACGTACAGCTTTCCTAGCATTGTGTTTATAGAGGCTGCCGTTTATTTATCTGGCTTTAGAAAACTCTGCGTGGGATTCGGTGCACAAGTTATAGTTTCTTGCATGATCGTCCAGGTTGTCCGTTTCTTCTCCAAAATACTGGCGACTGCTCGTTGTTGGGGCTAAATTGGTGCTGGAAAAATCATCCCAAGCTGTTAGCATGTTTGGTCACCCCAGTTGAAGAAACGTGGCCCGCCTGAGCTTGGGGAAGTTTTGTTTCCTGGACTACAAAACCCAGAATACTTCCTGCCCGCCAAAATCTGGTTTAAAGCGCCCATGTTGAAAATCAGGGGTGGAGATTGGAATACATAGTCCCTGGCCCACGTGGGGGCCCCTTTTCTTACGTCCCTGTTTTCCCCACACACACACCCAGGCCTCCGAGTCTTACTGGTGGACCAGTGGGTCGAGACAGGGGGAACCATGCAAGCCGCCGCCCAACTGGTCGAGCGTCAAGGTGGGGTCGTGGCAGGTAAGTGGACGGGAACCCTGTCTTTGGCTGGCTGTCCCTGAGGGCTAGATGGAGCCTCCAGCCTCAGGAGCAGTCTGCCTTTCAATCCCATTTCCTGCAGAGGAGGTGATTTTAAGAAAGGGAGGGAGGTGGGTATTGCTTTCCTCTTTTGCTCGTAGGCTTCCCAGGGGGAACATGGGGTCATAACAGGATGCTGCATTAGGGAAACTTTTTTTATTGAGTCAGCCAGAATTACTTTGTGGAAAGAGAATTTCCAGAATCCCAAGATAATTTTCCCCAACATCTGGACCCCACCCGCCTGGGTCTTTTTGATTGAGTCACCCATGGGGCTAAGGAATAGAGCCTCCACGTTTGGCCGCAGTCTACCTCAGTAGATTAGGGCTTTGAAAAATCAGTAACCAGAGAAGGTCTGTGGCTTTAGGACCCACCGCGTATTCCCCTGACCACTAGGCATTGCCGCCATCTGCATTGAAGACAGCGAAGGCGGGCGGTGGCTGAAGGACCGCTATAAATGGAGCCACTGCGTTCCCCCTCATCTGATGGCCCAGTTCAACGCTCACCGCCTGGACTCCTTCAAGGCCTTCGAGCCCGGGCAGGGCCTGCCGTAGCCAGGAGACGGCAAGCAGGGAGCCCACGCTCTTGCGCCATGTGCACAGACCCTCCGTGGCCTTGGCGGCCCGCTGGCTGGACTTGACCCTTCTCTGGAACCGCGGCGGCCAGGCAGCGTATTTAATATCCTGACCTGTTGAGCATCAGCCTGCCTCAAAGCTCTGCCGCCACCAGAAAGCAACTTAGGATCCTTAACCCGGCAATAAATAAATCTACTGGCCCACAGACGATCTTTTTTTCCGGCTTGTTGTGATTTATCTCTCTCTCTCTCGGCGTCACCCTCAAAAGGAGCCCAAAATCTCGAGGCAAATTTAAAAGACAATATCTAGATTTATCCTACCAAAAGTTTTGGGGGGCATAAAATGCTCTTCTTGGTGAAGAGGGTGAGGACATGAACTCCCATTATCCCCAGTCTGCGTGGCCAAAAGAGGGAAGATGGGAGGTGTTGTCTGACCCATTCGGATCTTGCCCGGAAGGAGAAAGCTGATGCATGGAAATTTTACTTGGTTAGAATATAACTCCTGGTGGCCACACTCAAGATAGGGGATTATGGGAGATGTAGTCCACACTTCGCCTCGCCAAACAGCCAGCTAGCCACACACACACACACACACACACAGGATAGGGGATTATGGGAGATGTAGTCCGCCTCGCCAAACTGCCAGCCAGCCAGACACACACACAAACAAATATCTGGTTAGCAAAATGGGGAAGAAGAGGGGGAAAAAAGCAAGAATACCAACTTTATTATGAACAACCAGGGTTGAAGCTGGGGAAACGCCCCAGCAGGATTTGCACTCAGAGCCCGTGGCCAGCTCGTGGGTCGTGATGCCAGAACGTGGGCGCTCGTGTGCTCGTACCATTTTAGGATGCAAAGCTGGCTCCGTACCAAGGAATGTGGTTTTGATCCGGCACAATCCGGAAGAAGGGAAGGGAGACTCAAGACGGGTACGGCTTCGAAACCTGAACAGAACTCCGAACGCCAGAGCTTAAGGGTCGTCCAGGGACGTCTTTGGTTTTGCTGGTTCGGAAGCGATGTTCCGCGAGGAAGGAAGACTCCGGATCGGCAGCAGGACCTCGGGTGGTGGGAAGGGGCGATCCCTCCGGGGCCTGGGGGTCCCCATCGCAGGTCTACCTTCGGAGGGGAGAGGAGAGGAGAGGGAGGGGCGCGTCTTTGGGCTCCAGACAAGTTCAGTGCAAATGTTCAGGCAGGCGGGCGGGCAGGCGGGGGAGGCCCTCCCTGTACGCCCGAGTCGTCACGGGCAGCATTTGGCCTTGTGCCGCTTCTCCGTCAGGTACAAATCCCGCTCGTCACCGTGGATCCCTGGAAAAAGGAGCGCCAGCTGTAGAGGCTCACGAGCATGAAGCCCTGTGCTCGGATCCCCTGGGCTAAATCTGAGAGTGACCCGTGGATGCCTCAGGGCTGTGCAAAAGTGTGGGTCCCTGCAAAAATCTCAGTTTCGCCCTTTTAAAAAAAACTCAAAGTTTCTAGCTCTCATTAAGGCACCGGGAAATCCTGGAAGCCTCAATAACGTGGCAGGAAGAGGGTGCCCGAGTTTCCAGCAGAGGAAACATGGATGGAGAGACACGGATCTTGCATAATTTGTGCCAATACAAAAAAAGTCCCCTCCCCCCCACAAAAAAAATCTGGACAAAATTTAGATTCTTAGCCACCTGCCCACATCATAAGGCTGGTGGTTCCCCACCGGCGTGGGTACTTACGCACAATGTCCCCAATCCGGCGTGCGTTGCTTTTCTCCAGTTCCGCCATCACGCTGCACTCAAACGTCAGCGCTGCGACTCGGAAGAAAAACTCTCTCACATTTTCACCTGGAATGGAAAGAGACATGTTTCTAGTCCTCAAGGTTGGGGCGAGGGTTTCTGCTCCAAAGAGCAACAGAAAAAAAGCTGCCTTACGCGCGCGTCAGGTCTCTGTCAGAGAGAAGGGAACTCAGCTCAGCAGGCTTACCTGTGAGCGACGAAACGGCCCAGAATTCGGCCTGCATTTCTTTGGCTATTTTCAAAGCGTCCTTCTCCGCAGGGGTGTACTGCGCAGGGCTCTGAGGGCCGAAGAGGACGGTTTCAGGAAGGCAGGAAAGAGAGAGGAGAGAGTTGTCAGACAGGGTGAAAAGCAGCGCTCGGCTTCTGAGTCAATGGGGCCCCTTTTCTACTCACACAGAGATCCTTCTTGGTCCCAACCAGGAAAAGGATGACGTTAGACGGATCGTTCTCCTTCAGAGCGTCCGACAGCCACTGCCTGGAAAGCAGGGAGGATCGGTGGGGTGGAGGCATAAGAAGCCCCCACGCACTTCCGCCGAAATGTGCAAGACACAGTCCCAAAAAGAGGTCCTAAAGGGAGCAGCCCAAGCGTTCTGTGACACCTGGAAGACTACCAAGCTGGATCAGGCAACCCTTTCCACACTTCCTCCCCTGCCCCAGGGCGGCTTTTCCTCCTGCCATGTTCATCGGGTTCCCCCCCCCAACCATTTTTATTGGCATTGTTTAAATCAGGAAAGGGGGAAATTAGGCTCCGGTAGACGAGTCTCCCCTAATTGGTCCCGTTCACGTGGTTTTGGATTACGGCTCCCAGCAGCCCCAGTCCCAACACCCGAGGGCTAAGGACATGATAGGTGTTGTGGTCCAAAACCGACGCCAGGGAAGATGAGCAGTAAAAGGCAGAAGGCAAAATCAGCTCCACGCGAAGGAGATGAATTCCATCTCTGGCCCGTCAGTGGAGCCAAAGTCGTCCTCCTGGGTGCTCCCAAACGCGCACGCACGGACACACAAATCCCTCCCCCCCACCCCAGACAATCTCCGGCCGCTCACCTGGTGTGGTCGAGAGAGGCCACATCGTTCATGTCAAAGACAATAATGATGGCTGTGAAAACAGAAGGAGAATTGGGGGGGGGTTGAGTCAGGGAGAGGAGACTTTGGGAAATACGGGGCAATCCCTCCTGGAAAGAGGGATTGCCCCTTATTTGCCATCTGGCCCAACAAATAATATCCTTTTGCCTCCATGGCCTCACCTTGAGCTCCTCGATAGTAGGTGGAGGCGATGCATTTGAACCGTTCCTGGCCGGCGGTGTCCCACCTGGGGGGCAAAGGGGGGGGCAGTGAGGTGACGGCCAACCAGAAGCCCCTGGAGGGGATTTGTCTCCCCAAAGCAAGGGATGGCAGAGAGGAGCCCCAGTGCCAGGAGAAGGAGGTGCGCCCTGTGGATCGGGACCCTGGCACTTACAGCTGCAAGCTGAAGGGGACGCCCAGGACTTCAAAGCGCTCCATTTCGAAATCCACCCCGATGGTGGCTTTGTAGTTCTTGTCGAAAGTATCTTTGCAAAACCTGGCGGAAGAACGAAGAGGGGGTGATGGAACCGTTTTGCCTTCCAAGATCCTTTGCTCTTTCTCTCTCTCCTCCTTGATCAAGAAAAGCCCCAAAGGACCAAGTTTCTAGTCCTTTGGATCCCACAAAAATGTGCCTTTCTGGAGCTGGGTTTTAAAAGCGACAGCGTTTGGGAAACTTTGGGAAAAACTGATCTATCAAAAGTGGCCAAGATTTTGATCTCATGCGTTTGAAAAAAGGATGATGAATCCCCCACCCCACACCCCACCCCAAATGCTGGAACCATGAGAAAAATACTTCCTCCCCAAAATATAGGCAGAAACAGGAAAAGTCAACCTTTTATGGCCTGAGAATCAGCCCGGGAAAAAAAAGGAACTCTTCCAAGTTTTGGGCAGAACTACATTCTCCTCGTAGCTCTTTATGTGATTGCCAGTAAATCGGAGAGGATTTACGGCTCTTAACAGCTGCTGTAACTAAGAAGTTCCCTCGCCCTAAATAAAATTAAGTTGCTGTTAAAAAACAAAATTGAAAAGGGGAAAAACAGGACCGGGAATGTTTGTGGGTTTTTTTTGCATGAGACTCGTGAACTTGATTCTGGTAGGGCTCACAAGGTCCTGGCCTAAAATATTTCCACCCCCACCCCAAATGCTCCTTCCCTGGTCCTTAATTCGTAGTGTGTGGTTAACCGCCTGAGACTGATGTTCCAAATTGCACTTTACTGCCGGGTTTTCTCCCAAAATACGCTTCTTCATTTGGTTGGGATTTTTTTCTTTTTGGGGGAGGGCGCTCACTTGCAGAGCTGAGAAGAGTCCCTTTGGGGGACTACAATGACCAGAATCCCCAATGCAAACCAGGAGCATTTGGGATTTGTTTTCCGGGGGGTGGGGGAATCCCTTTTCCAAGCATTCGCAATGCAGCACGCTTGGGTCCCCCTACAGCTGACTCCCTCCAACGTGCAGAGACAACGGGGGACTACAATGACCAGAATCCCCAATGCAAACCAGGAGCATTTGGGATTTGTTTTCCAGGGGGGGGAATCGGTCCCCCTATAGCTGACTCCCTCCAACGTGCAGAGACAACAGAATGGGAACCCAGCGGATTTCTTAAAGCAGTTTTCATGCTTGATTCCCTTCCCGGAATCTCCCAAGAGTTACCGATTAATTAAGCAGGTCTTCCCCACCGACAGGTCTCCGACCACAATGATCTTGGAGATTTTGAACCTATAGAGGGGGGGGAATCGGTCCCCCTATAGCTGACTCCCTCCAACGTGCAGAGACAACAGAATGGGAACCCAGCGGATTTCTTAAAGCAGTTTTCATGCTTGATTCCCTTCCCGGAATCTCCCAAGAGTTACCGATTAATTAAGCAGGTCTTCCCCACCGACAGGTCTCCGACCACAATGATCTTGGAGATTTTGAACCTATAGGACAGAAATGGGTTGAATAAGGTGCCGAAGGCAACCTCAGAAATGACCAGAGAAAACAGAAATCACAGCCCTTAGTGACCCTCAGTTCCTTCAGGTTTTGTCTCTCCCACAGCAGCCATTTCTCCAGGAGAGAACTCTAAAAACATTAAGAATTTGTGCTTGAGTTTTCCTCTCCCCTCCACTCCCCTTTTCCTTTTCTGCTGTGCCTTTTTTACCCTAAAAAACGGCAAACCACTCCGCACGGGATCTGGGAGTCTGGGATCCTTGGCATCAGGGGCAGGTTTTCCCCCCCTTTCTGTCAGCTCCAGCCGCATTCCTGCACCGTGACCAAACTCTCCGGACACGCTCCAGCAGACACGCGCCCCCAATTTAGGAGAGGCATCTACAGGCTCCAGAGAGTGGGGGGAAAGGGGAAAGCTTAGGGAGCGAAACATGGCCGAGCGTCCAGATCAGACCAGAACAGCGGCTGGAAAGCTCAGAGGGTGACGTTTCCTGGGAGAACTTGGGGAGAAAGTGACATGGGGGGGGGCTGTGGTTTGCAGGAACACCTCCTCCCCCCTCCTCTCCGATCAACAGCTCAACCGTTGCAACCAAAGAACAAACCCGGACGATCAAGTTTCTAGACCTTTTTGTACAAACACAATGGTGTTCGAGAACTTGAGTTTTCTTTAAGATAACTATTTTTGTCCAGGTTTCCAGGAAGTACACAAGTGGCTGGTTGTGTTTTGACTGCCAGGAGGTTTGCCTCCTTTAAATTACAGGCAGAATGCAGAAAAGTTACATTTTGAAGCTTGTAACTTAAAAATCCTCCTAGCAGGTTAGGCTCGGGGGGCCCAAACATTTGGTAAGTTTTCCAAGTTTTGCTTCCTAGCAACCGGGCGTTGCCAAGTTATTTCGGCATCTTGCTCCACCCCGCCCTCCCCCTTTCTCCAACCTGGAAGAGGCGGGTGTGTGACTCACCCCACAGTCCCCGTGCGCTGGGCCTGGCACATCCCCACCACTTTGGGGTGAAAGGAGGTCCGGGGATGTAAGGCCGCCTCTTTGGTAAAGCACTGCAAGGAAAACAGCCAGAAAGACACCAGTCACCTCCTGCCCACCGGGTGCGGGAGGCTGCCGTTCACGAGAGTCTACCCAAGCCCTGCCCGAAATACATTTCAAGGTTTGGGGGGGCTCTAAGATGTTCCAAAGGAAGCAGAGAAAACAGCTCAAGCAGGCGGGGGGGGGGAAATACATCGCAAGAGAGAGAGAGACAGTGTTTGTTTTAAAGAAGAAAACAACCGAGGTTGACGAAATGGAACAGGGAAAGAAACAGACCACCGAAGGAGAGATCGTAGGAGGCACCGCAGAGGGAGGGGGGCTTCCAGGTTTGCCCACAGAAGGATTAAACATTGGCCTGCGCCCTCCTACGCCCAGGACCAGCCAGGACGCAGCTTCTGATTTTCTTGGGTCTCTTTTTCTGTAAACAGCCATTGCTTCGTTCCCGCAAGGGCCTCTGCGCTGGGCTTCTCGGGAGAGCTCAAAGGTGCCCACATAATGCCCCCCCCTCCGGAATGCCAGGGGCGGCTTCCAGAGGAAAGGGCACCAAAGCAAGGTTTCTAGAAGGCCAGTGCCTGTTCCCCTCCCCCACCGTTTTTTTACCTGTGGCAGTTCAGCAATGACCCGGTCCCTTCGTACAGGGGCCAGAATGTTCATCCTTCAAACTTGGGGAGGCCCCCCCGAAGGGCTATGTCTTGACACCTGGAAGCACATAAACAGATTTCTTGAAGAGGGAATTAACATGAACCCCCCCCAAGAGAAAATATTCTTGCTTCCACTTCTGCACTGGTTTAAACCAAAGAAAGACAGAATAACACTCCCCTCTCATTTAGGGTTATGATGATGTGCGTGAGACAAGATTTAACCCCCCTACATAAACCCAAACGCCTTTCCACCCCAAGAGGAGTCTGCAGATCTGCCTTCTCTCCAGGAATTCCTGGCAAGCTGCGCTGTTATTTCTAAGGTTTTATTTATAAGATGTGAGAGTAAAAGTAGAGGCCACGGACGTTACCCTCGTGGCGGCTTCCCTTGGTCTGTGGGAGTGGGAGGATGATGCTCTTTATGAACCTTGAGTCTCAGCAGTTCAACAACCCATGCCTTGTAAACTAGCAATCCTCACACATTGCAAATCTGGCATTCTCTCCCATCCCATTCCTCGGCTGGAAAACCCCTCGGGGGGGGGAGGATGGCGGTGACTCTGGAAAGGCCACTGACCCTCCACACCCGGGCATCCTTCGGACCTCCTGCACCCCAGCTCTCCCCCCCCCGGAAACCCCAAAACCCCAGGAGTCAGAGGAGGCTCTGGTGGGGGGGGGGGAAGGAGGTCGACGAAATCTTGCAGAAGTTCCCTTTTTTGGGGTGGGGGGCTCCCCACTTCCAGACGGCTCCCTCGCCCAGCAAAGCGCCCAAAGTTTTGGGGACGCGCCTCAGCCCT